TGGGAAAAACTGTCAAGTATATTAACAACAAACTACAAAATATGGTGCTTAAGAAGCACATCAACAAACTAAAGAAACAAACTAAAATAGTGGGTGATTAAACAACCCATAAACACACTACAAGTGATAAAATGAGCTTGGTATGGGTTGTCAAATAGTGAGAAAATGAACTATGTATAATTAAGTGATCTGTCTTGGAGGTTGAGGGTTTGATACTAGTGAGTGAGGGAGCCTAGTTTGGAGGGATTAAGTACACACTAGCTTATATTTAGGTATTGATCAGTATTTCAGCACAATACCAATCATTATCCCGTAATCTCTAATACCAAATAACATTTGAAATTTAATCCCAATCTCAATCTCATAAAATATTACGTGTATTCGATAATACCAAATATCGACGAATTCAGTAGGATATTTAGTATATCCCAAATACCGATACCAAACTTCCAACCTTATGAGACATACAAATTTGAATTGTATGCTTTCGAATTTTATATCCGAACTTATCATTTGGAGAAGAATCTCTTCGTGATCACTAACAGAGCTATGGAACCCAATCACCCATTTATATTAATTACATTTAATATTCATAAGACAAAATAACATTATACATATGCCCGATCCCATGATCTTTTAAAAACAAGATAACTTTAGGACAATATACGATCTTTTTTTATATGCTGTCCGATAACATGAAAGTCCGAAAGAGAAAAACACGAAAATGTGAAGGGAATGTGGGATTGCTCTTAGAAAAAAGGTAAGGCCATATTGGATAGAATAATAATTAAGCTAAAATAATTAATTCCAGCTTGATTAGGATTTGGGGATTGCAGGAGACATCTGCAAGTGAGGGGGAGGTTGCTTGTCTTTGGAATAGAAAGGGGGAAGGGAATGAAAAGCGTACAAAGACTGTAGTTAATTAACACCAACCAACATGGAAAGGACGTATGATAATAACAATGTACATTTTATCACTTTGCTCAATCATCTTTATATCGAACTGACATGCTACGTGATTATTGTTGAAGATTTTTTTTTTAGGGTTAATATTTTCGTATGGCCTGAACTTTGACCAAAATAAACATCTTGGCCAATCTTTTCGATCTATAACATCCTGGCCCGAACTATACACCAAAATAAACAATTTGGCCAGATCCGACTTTTGACCGTTAACTTGGACGGTCAAACGTGTTGACCGTTAGTCAACGCGCCATGTCACTGCCAAGTCAGCATAAAATATTCAAAATAATTCACAATTTCCACACATTTCCCAATTTTAAATTATTATAAATTAAAAAAATCATCTAATACCTTATTAAAACCAAAAATAAAAAAAAATTAATATTTATCAGATCTTCTGACTTGGCAGTGACGTGGCGGGTTGACCGTTAGTCAACGCGTTTGACCGTCCAAGTTAACGGTCAAACATCGGGTTTGGCCAAATTGTTTATTTTGGTGTATAAGTCAGGCCAGGATATTATAGATCGAAAAGATTGGCCAGGATGTTTATTTTGGTCAAAGTTCAGGCCATACGAAAATATTAACCCTTTTTTTTATTGTATGAAAGGTTTGGTATTTCGATATTCGTGATGATAGTTAATTATTATGTTTACAAGTAACGGTAGAGCTATATGTGCAGGAGAAATTTTACAATGCTATATAGAATTGATGTTATAGGTTTTTGCTTTTATGGTACAACTTAAAATTGTACATTTACGTTATGGTACAACTTTAGATTGTACCTATACTTTTTGTACAAATTCTTTTATTGTACAACTTGAACTTGTACCTTTATGTAATGGTACAACTTCAAGTTGTAAAGTTGTATCATAACATAATGGTACAAATTGTTTTATGGTACAACCTAAACTTATACATTTAATGTTATGGTACAACTTTGAGTTGTACATTAAAGCACCAATACTCTATAACATAGTAGAAGTGCTCTATGTGCAGTCTAGAAGGTACTACATACTTCCTAATCCCTTCAATATTTTTGTCTCACTCCCTCCAACATTAAGATTTCATAATGAGAAACTGGTTTAGTTTGTCATTTTCAACCCCTCCTCACTCTAAGTCCTTATTTTCCCATGTCTACTAGAGTATACAGATGAGTTTTGGTGGCATACTGGCATGTGATGTTGTGCAGTTAAGCGAGAACGAGGTGCAATGCGAGCACATATTTGGTGTAATCGAGGGAGAAAGTTGAAGTAAATTGGCAAAAAAGATCACAAGATTCTGACAAATGGATGACAATTACAAGTACCCAAGAACATATTGATGCAGACTTAGACGGCAGGTAGTATATAGTTCAAATGATAGTAACCTTAAATCTTATAAACTTAGCATATTTGTGATGTTTCAGAGATCTCCTCTTTCCTCGATGTGTTTTTTTTCTTTTCTTTTCTTCATATCAAATTCGAGGGGGTGCAAGTTGAGGGATAAATTGTAGGATGGTGTAAATTGGTTGGAGTTGTAAGTGAAAGGGTAAATTGTTGTTTGGATGAAAAAAATTGAGGGTGCAATGCAAATAGATTTAAAAGTAAGTATTATATTATTATAAAATAGATTTATCAAATTTATAAAATATTATTACAAAATAACAAAAGAAATTAATTTTAGAATAATTAATATGTTTTAATAAAAATAATTATTATATAATAGTGCTCAAAAAATCATTATTAATTATAATAACTGTAATAATCATTGGTCGAGCAACCTCGAAGCCTAACTCGTAACTGGTCATCCTACAAGGTTCTCATGTCTAATTTGACTTTAAATTGAATATGGTCAAACTCAATCAAACACGTTCCACAAACACTTCTTATTTCTAATTTTCAATACAAATTCGAGTCAACCAATAGATCTCTATTTGACTAGACGAACATTGATAAATTTGCTTCCGGAGTCAAACGATCAACCTCGAACAATGTCTACATTAGTAATAACTATAGGAAAAGAAATTGACAATATTAATTATTATGTCATTATAATTATAACACAATTAAAAATTTATAATTCATAATTTTCCCTCACCCCCTCTCTTCCTTTGCACCCCAATTTGAAGGGTAAGACGAAACAGTAACTTTGTACTCCTTTACTGTTACAAATTATTCAAACCGGTACAATACAAACTGAGTTTTTACACCCTTTTCATTTGCACCAAGCAGAGTGTTAGCAGTTAAACAAGCAAATGAAAGAAACTTATTTTTTTTTTGTTTTTCTTCATGTTCTAAGTTCTAACAAGTGACTTACAGACTTCGAAGAGGATTTGATGCCTTTCTCTTCTGATTTTGCTGCCCCAAGTCTTTGAATTAAAAAAAAGACTGACTTAGAGTAGTGACTGAGCCAAATATGCATTCTAAGACCTAAGTACATGAATCTTATTATATAAAACGAACTCACCTTGGAACCCAAACCCTTCGACTACTATGAAATCTTCCTTTAATTAACTGCTTAGCTAGGCTCCCAGTGGTTGACCAGTGACCAACCGGTTTACTTCACATAAACATTTCGTAACCTAATTATGGGGGGAAGTCAATTAGTCAAATACAACGGCTGCAGGCTAATAGTTAAATCAATGGTCGGGTCAAGTGGGAGATCGGTTCGGATTTTATTGAAATCAATGAACTTGAAGGCTTGAACATGTAGGGCAACCAACGGTCCGGTTAGTACGACTATGAATTGGGCCTACGTACCCAGTGGACTAATCCGAACACTAAACCAACATCGCTGTAGGGCCTGTTAAAATTATTTCTTGAATAAAATATTTCACAAAAAACGACACGAAAATATCTTCCATCCAATCCACTTTCTTGATGATGGTTACTAATTTCCAATGCTAACCACTGGTTCTCCACTTAGTAGTGAAATGTTGATCGATAGTTCCATTCCGATTCTCTTTATTTTCTGCCCACTCACTCTTTTAGCCTAATCAGGTTTAGGTCCAACCTATAAAGAGTACATAGGGTGAAAAGAGTACTTAACTATAAGTTATGTTGTGCATTTGGTGCAAGCCTTTCATTTTCTTGTCGATTTTACGATCTGATTTGGTGTATTTGATACATTTTTTTTTTGGTGAGATGTATTTGATATATTCAAATAAGTGTCGATTAAGTTGAATTTTTTAGAAAGAAAAAAAAAATCGATCATTATGAAGGAATTACTATTGCATTGAAATTAGTAAATAAGATACTATGGTATTTATAGTTCAAATTCTATACTAAAAATGAAATTATATAAAATTGGTGGCTTGATATAAGTATAATTTGATGTGTATTAAATCACAAATCATAATCATCCATGGATATTAACAATCCATTTTACTCGAATCTCCTAAATCACATAGATAGAAAGCATTTGACAATTGACATTCATTAATTCGCGTTGGCAAATGAGCTGGTTGGGACTAATAATCATTATTATTAAACATTAAAGATATGACCTATAGAAGTTTGATCAACCCCATCAATACTGTTTTTTTTAACAATCCAAAATCAACTTCCAACCCAACATCCACCGCTTTCATGAACAATTTAGAATCAATAATTAAACTAATATTATATTTGATCCGATTTGAATATTTGCTATGGTAAATCAATTTATTTTTTAGTATTTATAAATTTCTTAGAACCAAAAACAAAATCAAAATTCAATATTGTCCGATCCAAACCTCAATTTTATCTCGATACAAAAAGTACGGGGCCGTTTGGATTAATCAATTGTAAAACGAGACGATTTGACCAAATGTTTCATTTTACAAAACGAGTTATTTAGAACGAGTCAATTCAGATTACCTGCCCCCACCTCAGACAATTGTAATTGGCTCAAAATGAGACAATTCAAAATTCCCCAGCCAAATTGATCCATCTATATTTTCTGCTGCCAAACTGATCAATCTGACACAATTGATTCATTGAAATTCCTCGTCCAAACGACGACTCCTAATATTTAAGTTGTCCCAATTTGAGACCAAAGCATAGTAGAAAAAACAAAGTCTACCCCAAAGTCCCAACCCTCAGCCAACGGCCAGCCACACTCCATAGTAGAGTAGTCAAAGTACCACGGTAGCCTGTGACTCCACAGAGACCAATCTGAGCCATCGATTTCCGAGGTGGGCCCAATTTCCTGTCGACCCGTTGATTCTGGCGATCCAAGTCGCCCCCCAATCCTACGCCATTGGGCCCCACAACCCCACATGGGCTACGGACTGGACAGCGACCCATCACTGCCCTTTCCCCTTCCTCTTTTTTTTCAAAAACATTTTATTTTATTTTATTTTATCTCCAAGGTATCATTTTAACTGCTCGATGAAGCCTAGCCTCTAGTAGCCCTCGAGTAACTGTAAAGCAGTTGGCAGGTAACTGGGTTTGGGATCAATATTCAACCCCCTTCGTTTTCAAACCAGCAAACTCCTCACTCAGTTTTATTTAACTCACTGTAAAAAAAAATCAAAACAACTTCCATTGGCCTAGGTTGAAATTTTTCCCAGCAATTTTCTCAGGCAGGCTTTAATAATTTTAGTTTTTTATTTTTTGTTTGTTCATTAATTGAAATCGAATTTCTCCAGTTTTGCCCACTTGACAAAAACATTCGGCGGGTAGGTGTCGGTTAAGAACAATTTTCATAACCGAAATAAACTGTACCCCTGCTCTCTGCCCTGCACTTAACTTACTTACGCCTAAAGCTAAAAGACAAGATCCCGTAATCAAGTGAAACAAGCAAGCAAACATAATCAAAAGGCACGAGGACCCAAGTCCCCCAAGAACCAATGCACCTCGTATCCATAATCGTCATTAGTCATCACTTTGGGGCTAACAATCTTTTTTTCTATAATCACGATCATTAGAGTCAAGGAACGTAACCAATACATCCAAACCCCAGCAGTCAATTTTAATTACGGTCCAACCCCCGTCTCCTCGAACCAAAATCCAACTCTAGCACACCTCCACAGATTTACAAGGCATCAGCAGCAACCCCTCCCCAACCAAAATAACAGGTCCGGTCCGGTTCGAGTCGGATAAAATTCGTCAAATGAGAAGGAAAAAAAAAAAAAAAAAAAAAGAGGTAGGAGACTGAGAGTTTGGAATTCGGAAAGAAAGTGAGAAGCAAGTTAAGCAGCTTCATCAACAATCTCCCCTCCAAGTTCGTCCAAATTACTCTTCTAGTACCTCAAAAAAAGAAGAAGCCCCGAATCACTCACTCCCAACAAGTATTCTTCTTCTTCTTCTTGTTATTGGCTAGGCGGAGAGCATGGAAGTTAAGGACTGGAAGACGACTTCTTCGCAAGGGATGGTGAGACCCATGTCGTGGTCGAACCCAAACTCTTCCTCCGCCTGGTGGAGCAGGGTCTGGAACTCGGGGCGGGTGAGGAAGGAAATGGGGACAATGTACCTACTCCGGTTCTCGCCGACGTAGACGACGAAGTGGCCCTTGGGGACGTCGAGCGGGAGGCCGCCGCAGCTGCCGTCGTGGTAGCCGTTGCGCTTGCCCAGGCTGGAGCATCTCTTGAGGATTTGCTTGATTACGGCCGTCTGTGGGAGCTTGTTTGATGATTTCCTGTTGGCCATTTTCGTGAACAGAGTATTCAGGGGGTGTTGGGTTTTTTTTTTCTTCTTCTTTTTGTGTGGGTTGGATTGAGAGGGTTTTTTTTCCTGTTCACTTTTGGTTTTGGGAAGAGGAGGAAGGGAATGGGATTTGGGAGGGGTATTTATGGGGACAATTGTGGAATTTGGGAGGAGAGAGAGAGAGAGAGAGAGAGAGGGCTAATGTGGGGGCGATTGGGCGGACGGGGAAGGACATATGTGCTACGGGTTGGGGTGGGCAAACCCATTGGGGTTAAGGCCCTTGTTGTTGTCCTTGCTAAGGACACCTTGGCCCCTCTTTCTCTCTCTAGATTTCACTTTCTCAATGTTGTATTGTTGGTTGGCCTTGTTTCACCTTCTGAAGTTTGAATGAGATTTCCTTCTCAATGTCATTCATAGGGCTAATGAGGATATGTGATCAAACTTGTTTGGAATGATCTGAAACATTTTGCTTATTTCATCTTGACTCAGGCCTCACAAGTAGAGAAATAATCTAATATTAGATCATTTGCTGATATTTGGAATACCTGTAGGTATAGGAAAAATAATGTATTTACAAAAGTTATGTATTATTTGTTACGGTCAAACCTAGGCTATTTATATATGTAGCTAATATTAAATGGCAAAAAAAAAACATGATAAGTTCGTGTGGGTAGCTATTACGGAGCCATATAAAAATCTCGTACCTTGCTTAATTTACTTATTCATGTCATATTATTTTTTTCATAAGATTTAGAGTTCAAATAGTATGATATATGTGTCAAACAATCACAGTCGCAGATTAAGAGAAAGAGAAGGAGCACATGAGGTTTTTTAACGTGCTATCATCAATATGACACTAGTTCGCGAAGATGATCTCCCTCTCAGATTTTAGGTTTTTTTATTGCTTTCCTTTAACATAACATACAACATTGTATATATAGTACAACCCTAAGAGTACTATTAAACAAAAAAAAATTACATATACTTTATATAATCAACAATATGATCATGCATTCTACAACAAATCGAGACACGAGGATGAGAAATTGAACCATGGATTTCTTTGATAGAGGTTGTTTACCAACAATAAAAAAATCAGCTTGTACCACATTGATTAATTATGATAGATTTAATGGATTTAAAAGGCCAACTCAATATTAGTAATTAAATGAGCTAGCTGAGCCTTATTAGGTTGGGTTTGGGGCCTAAGTGGCCAAGCCCCCTAAACCTGGCCTAGTGGTCGGCCGCCTCCATAACCCGGACGATGCATCCACCCCCTTTGAATGAAATATGGCTCTAAAAATACTAAGTTCGAAAACAAGGAAGGCTTGGTAGCTAGCCAATAGGGTACCAAGCCAGCAAGTCAGGACTAATACCAATAAATGAAATTTGGCTAATTATGGAGTCGAGAGGGTATCAAGACACCAAGGGGGTATCAAGCCAACAAGGCATGGTTTGGTACCAAGACATGAAATTTGGCTAAATATGGAGCCAAGAGGCTACCAAGCCAGCAAGGTAGGTCTGGTACCCAACCATACAATTTGGCTAAGTATGGAGCCAATGGTGTACCAAGCCGACAAGGCAAGCTTGATAGCCAAACAAGAAGGTACCAAACAGGCAAGACAAGCTTAGTAGGCTTAGGGCAAAATAGCTCCCAAAAACTAAGTCTGAAAATAAGGCGGCAAAATAGGGTGCCAAACAACAAGGTACCAAGCCGATGAAAGAGGCTTGGTAGGATGAGGGTACCAAGACAAGAAAATAAGTCCCAAGATGGGCTGGGAATCTAGACCAAACCGTATGGGAAACCGCGGTCTAGACCGTATCGTATGGTTTGGTCTGGACCGCGAGACCAGAACTATGGTCTGGTCTAGTTTGCGGTCTCCTCCTTTAGTGCGTGGTCTGGACCGCGGTCTACCGCAGTAAACCGTAATAGACCGCGACACATTACCTACTAACTCGGATAAAAATAACACTAAATTGAACTTCCATTTGTGTATTTCAAGAACAAAGTTAGTTGATTCTTCATCTAGTTGAGAGCCAACAAATTGCCAAATGATCGCTTATGTGTTATCTCCTTATCAAAGAACCACACAAAAACCAGAAAGACTCATAAATAATATTCAGAGACAATGTCTAGACTATGGAGTCGATAAAAATTAAAAGATAGAAAAAATTTGTTCACCTTGATGAGATAAGAAAAATTATTGAGAGATATGTGACCAGGGGCGGACCCAGGAGGTTTTAGGGGTGTCCCCGGACACCCCTAAATTTTGGGAATACGATTATCCAACCTCCAGTGCTAATTTACGTATGGACAAAAAAAATATAATGGACAAAAAAAAATATAATTGATAGTGAGGGACACCCCTGAAATTTGAAAACATGATTATCCTACTGTCATTTGTGTATAGGAATATAAGTGGTAGATTGGGTAATTCAAATCTAGAACACTATTCTTATTAATAAACTTAATTTTCGTTGACCTACAACTCATTTGTTGTTCGATTTTGAAAAATGTAATAGTAAAATGTCATTTCCTATCTCTAATTATTTTAAAAACCTAACAATTAAACTAATTTCAAGCTACCCTTAATACGTCAAGTGTTGAAAGAGTCTTTCAGCTTTGGGTTACATTGAGAACAAGTTTACAAATCGAATATGCGATAAGTTCGTGAATGATTGTCTAGTGTATATAGAGACAAAAAACTTTAACACTATAGACACCAAGTGTATTCTACAATTATTTCCGAATATGAAAACAAATAATGGACTTTTTTAACTTGTACGAGTAAGGTATTTTCAAATTTACGATTTTATTTTTATTAATTATTTTTATTAAATTTATGTTTAAAAGATGACACCCCTATGGAAAATTTCTAGGTCCGCCACTATATGTGACCATCTTAGTGATTCAAAATTACCGCGACGTCATCACAAAGGTTATCAACCGGGAGAACCTTCGGATCACTCGAGAGAGGAGAGAAGCGGTAGCACAAAGAGGAATAGGGAAACAAGACTGTTTGATGTGTGTGTGTGTGTGTGAGTTTGAAAATTAAAAAAACCCACTTATATCCTCATATTTCTTCTCATTTAATTACGATCACAATTTTTTTGTTTCAATAGCATATTGGTCACTAAATTTTTTATTTTTATAGATACCAACGAAGGGTTGGAAGGCAAACAAGAGTTAACTTTTTTTAACATGGTCTGTCTGGTCCAGACCATACCGGACCGCACCGCACAGGTGTGGTCTGGTCTGGACCGTATAGTATATGGTCTGGTCCATGGTCTGTATTCCAACCTCTTGGTCTGGACCACAGACCGTATCTATGGTCTGGTTGGACCAGACCGCACCGTTTCCCACCCCTACCGTGTACCAAGCCAGCGGGGCGACAAGATGGGATTGGTTACCATGGTAACCATATTAACCAGTATTATTCGGTTAATTTGGTTTGGTTAATTTGGATAATTGGTTTGGTTAAACAATTTGTCTTATTTGGTTTAGGTGGTTTGGTTTGGTTTCAACACTGCTAACAAATGAAACCAATTAACCAATTAATGATACACTTAATATACAAAATTATTTATACTTCCATGCAACCAACCAAACTAAACTTTCGTGATTCCCTATTTTATTTCCATGTGCACAACAAACAAAAACATTATGGGTCAAAAATTAAATGGGCCTGCCTATTTACTAAACCAAAACATTTGGGACAACTACTAGACTTTAGGATTACGTACAATATAATGTTTTCATGTAATGTTATGTTATTTGGTTAATCCAATTATCCGATTAACCAAATCAATTAAACTTTGGTTTGGTTAATTTGGTTTTCGTGTTAATTTGGACGGTTTGGTTAAGACATTTTATTCCATGGTTAATGAAATTTAAGCTTAATTGGTTTGGTTATTACCATGGTAATCATTTGAACACCCCTAATCACCGGCGCCATGTTTGGGTGTAACTGCCACCACCTTGTCTCTCCACCCAGTGGCGGAGTCAGAATTTGAAAGTACCGGTGTCCTCTTTTCATGATACAAATAAATAAATATTTAATTATTTAATAAAGATAATTCAAATTAATAATATTCAAATAATTCAAAATCATTGTTTTCATAAACTATCGACCATGAGTCATGACGCGTTTTCATACTCTCAATGTATCCAACTAAACAATCATTAGCAAATTGGTCGTAATTCGACTTTGAAACTTATTCTTAATATAGCTCAAAGTTGAAAAATGCTCTTTCTACACTTGCAGTTAGAACATGTAGAGTCATGACTAACTTCAGAAGAAAGAGAGATTGATTTTTAGGTATTGTGAATTTTGTTTTTAGTGTGATAAATTGATTTATGTTAGCTTTTAAACTTGAAAGGTGTAGTGATAAAACATCTTATATCGCCTAAAGGAGATAAGTTCAATCCTTGATTGTTACATATATATACATGAGGTATTATTTTATCCAAAAATTATCGGTGTCCTGGAACACATCCCAGACCTTTTGGCTCCGCCTATGTCTCCACCAATCACTGGTGGTACAAATAAAATTAATGGAGAGGCCGTGGTGGGATACACCAAACAAATTGTATCTCGACTTTATTGTTTCCATACTCACCTAAATCGACATTTGAATAAACGAGATGAGATTTGCGAGATAAATAAAAATAATTTTAAGGAGTTTCGCCAACTTTTGATAAAACCAATGTTGAGATCGAAGGTTGTGACAAAAGATGGTGTAGATCCACCATCAAGCATTGCTACTAGAGATATGAGTATTGTCTATGCCCAGCAAGCCTGATGGATACAAACCATCAAGGGGGCAACAAGGAGGGTATGGAAGCCTACCGCTTCACAAGTTGAAGGTGAAATGTCAGGCTCAAAGGCAAATTGATGTCAAGAGAGGTTAACAAAAGGGTGTGTCCAACATACCACCATATTTGTTGCCACAACAAACCCAAACAACACATGCTTGTAGTAAGCATGATAGGGTAGCTAAGTATGGCAAGGGGGCATGTGAATAACCATGAAAAGTGGTATGAGGGGCATATCTCCAGCGACATGTAGTGGATAGGGGAGCATGCCATCCACTGAAGAATGGAGTGAAGGGAAAGCCTAG